TGGTGTGGGGTGATGGGATAGGGGACCCCAACATGGGGCTGCTTTATAGGGCTGGTGTGGGGGTGATGAGAGAGAGGGACATGGAAGTGAGCACCCTGAATGTGGGGTGATGGGACAATGTGGGACAGAGCAGACAGGTATGGATGATGGGCCCATGATATCTTATCTTGATGGGCCCATGACATGGGACATTATGGTTTGGGTGGCAGGATGTGGGGACTGCAAGGTGGACTGTCAGAGCAGGCTGGTGTGGGGTAACAGGACAGAGGACTCCAATACGAGGCAGTCAAAGCAGATTGGTATGGGATGGTGGAATAGGGGGATCCCCGTGTGGGTCACCTCAGTGCAGAGTGGGAACAYAGACTCCTCAGTATGCCTGGACCAGTGTGGAGGGACAGCACAGAGYTCCCAGTGCCATTCAGCCTGGCAGGCTGGTTTGAGGGTGCCACCTGCCAGCCTTGTACCTCTCAATCTGGGACATGAAGCGGGTCTCAAAGGTCCCGCGGGTCTTGAGCTTCTCAGAGGCCTCCCCATTGAAGAGCAGGTTCTCATCCACCAGCTTCAGCAGCACCAGCCGCACGATCTCCCCCATGTACTTCCCCCCGATGATCTTCTCGTACCTGGGAGGGCATAGGTGAGGGGGTGGCATCAGAGCTGGCATTTGAGGGTCCACATCCCACAGCACTCCCTCTTTCCTTCCCACCTCCTTGCTGGATGTGTTCCCATGCATAGGCACGGCCCAGGGCGAAGGATGCCCGTGCTGGGGAGCTGAGCCCAGCATAGCTCAGGGGATGGGAGGGATGCCCAGAGGAACTGGATCTCTCCTATTCCTTACAGTTGCTGACCGGGGTTAAGTGAGGTCTCGTCCACCACGCGGTCGTACTCCAGGAGGAACTCGTCCAGCTCCCCAGAGGCACCAAAGGCCCCCCACTCGGTGTTCACGCACATCCGCCCTTCGTCGCCCTCCACCAGCTCCACGTTGTGCATCTCCTCCATGTAGCAGGCGTTACAGCCTGTCCCTGCCGGGAACTGGGGATGGGTCTGGGCGGCGGGGGCAGCGCTGACACCCCCGCCACAGCCCTCCCGTTCCAACTGGGGTAAAGCTGGGATAGTCTTGTGGAGCAATGGGGAAGTACTGCAGAGGGTCCAGACACGTGCCAGGACAGGGGTTGGGACCCCTATGGAGTCTGAGGGACATTCCTCAACCTGGTGACTGGCACCACTTCAAGGGTGGCTCCAGAACATGGGGGRAGGTTTTAGACTAAAAGAGGGGAAATTTAGATTGGATACTGAGGGAAATCCTTCCTTGTGTGGGTGGTAGGGACTAATATAGGTTTCCTAGAGAAGCTGTGGCTGCTCCATCCCTGGGCATGTTCCAAGCCAGGTTGGACAAACTCATCTAGTGGAAGCTGTCCCTGCCCATGGCATGGAACCAGATAATCCTTAATGTCCCTTCCAATCCAAACCATTCTGTGATTTCAGGAAAGCTAGAACTAACGATGGTTGGGAACTTACTACATATGTCYCAAATCTGTACCCCCACTCCACCCAACTGGGGATGCAATAGAATCATCAAATCATAGAATTATGGAATGATTTGGGTTCAAAGCAACCTTAAAATTCATCTCATTCCACCATCCTGCCCTGGACAGAGACACCTTTGACTAGACTAAGTTGCTCCAAGGGTAGAAGGGAAACAGCCTCAAGTTGCACCAAGTGAAGTTTCTGTTGGATATTGGGAAAATTCCTTCAATGGAAAGGGTTGTCCAGCTCTGGCACAGCTGCCCAGGGCAGTGGTGAAGTCACCATCCCTGGGGGGATTTAGCAGCTGTGTGGATGTGGCACCTGGGGACATGGGTTAGTGGTGGTCTTGACAGTGCCAGGGGAATGGTTGAACTTGATGACCTTAGAGGCTTTTCCAACTCAAACAATTCCATRATWCCATGCTAGACCTCATTTCACTGTAAAAGAACTGACTGAACCAGTCAGCCAGTGCCTGCTGCTCCATGAGCACCAGGAGTCAGTGACTGAGATCGTGGCTAAGGCTGTGCTTGGAGCTGCATGTCCTTCTGCACTGATGGGGATGGACATCCCTCCTGCTCTCCACCCCCGCTGTGTCCCCACAGCCCTGGCTGGCCACTTGTCCCCATGGCAGTGTGGCAGTGTTCTCGGGGCTCTGGGCACTGTGCTGAGGCCAGCCCAAYCCCAAGAAACTGATACACATCCCAGCATGTGTCTACCCAGGTGAGGGGATGTGGAGCCCAGATTGGCACTAAAGATAGTGAGGGGCCGGGGGAGGTGGGGGCTGCTCCCTACAGGGAGCAGGGGATGGAGCTGGCAGGGTTCAAACTCATCCCCACCATCCGGCTCTGTGACACCAGCTGCCTTCCACAGGTCCCTATCCCTATGAAGATGTGCCAGAGCCACCAGAGCCAGTCTGGGGGGAGGGCAGCCCTGTGGGGACCAGCCCTTTTTAATGACTACCCCCTTTCTACATCCAAAGTGCTCCGACCACCATGCTGGGGTCAGGTAATGTCATTGGATGCTCCGACCACCAGACACCTCAGCAGCATGCCACTGCCACGCCCCTGTCCATGGTGTGTCCCCCCAAAAGAACAGGGGAAGCAGCAGGGGAGCGGGGCTGTAGGATGGTTCCCTGTCCCCAGCCACGTGTCCCTGTAGAAGGGGCATCTTACCCACAATCATCCCAACCTCGCACCGGTGATCTTCATAGTAGCAGGAGATCATCGTGGCCACCGTGTCATTCACCATCGCCACCACATCCATCTCGAAGTCCTGGGGACAGGGACCATTGCGAGCTCATGAGGGGTTAGGCTGTCCCACAACAGGAGTGTTTGGGGTGAATGGTCCCCAAGGGTGAGGACCTGGGCACGTGTCATGCACAGGTGTGTGCACATGTATGGAACAGCCCTGCCCAGATTCACACTTGGCTCCTGTGGCCCCATCATGGGGACAGCTGTGCCCCMATGGTCCCTTCCTGGGGACACACCRRGCTCCMRTGGCCCTGTTGCAGGCACAGCCAAGCTTCAGTGGGCCCATTGCAGGGAGGACTGGGGGTGCTGGGGTCTCCACACCATGGTCTGWTCCTCACCCCTCGCCGTTTGATGGCGTCCCTCAGCAGCCCCACCACRTTGTTCCCTTCCGCGCCGGAGGCTTTGAAGCCCTTGGTCCAGTTCAGGAGGATGCCCTGGAATTGGGGTCAGACAGAAATGGGGCTGTGGGTGTAGCTGAGGCTTGGGGACCCCTAAGCCCTTGCTGTCTGGCCATCCCCTCACCTTATCAATGTCCTCATGCCGCACRGGGAAGGAGAAGGTGAAGCCCAGGGGCAGCTTTTTGTGCTTCATCTGGTGCTTGTCCAGGAAATCGGAGATGCACTCAGAGATGTAGTCAAAGAGCTGGAAGACAGGAGGTCCAGCCTTTGCCAAGGGATGTCCCCATCCTCCCACTGTCCTTGAACGGACACTGTCCCCACCATGGGCTCCCCAGGCCTGGCCACCCCCCGGCTTCTGCTGGCTGGAGGGATGGGGGTGTCCCCCCACTGAAACACACTCACAATGAAAGGGACTGGGAGGGGATGGGATGCCCCGTGTGCGCCACTGACCATCTCAGCTGTCCCAGTCATGGCATCCTCCGGGATGGAATACATCTGGTGCTTCGTCTTCACTTTCCACTGCCCCTCCTCCCCTTCGCCCACCTTCACCAGCATMACACGGAAATTGGTGCCGCCCAGGTCCAGTGACAGGAAATCTCCCACCTCTGCAAAGCCGGGGAGAGGGGGAGAAGGTGATGGGCTCCACGTAGGCTCAGCCTTCCAYATGCAACTTGATGGGGTCCAGGGAGGGGGTGACACACAAGGGACCRGAAGTGACACTGTACCAGAGCCCTCAGGGGTGGAGCGGACATAGGTGGGCAGCATTTTGACAGAGGCTTCCTCATGTGTCTCCAGCTTGAGCCCTCGGTCCATCTCCTTCTGCATCCGGTGCATCACTTTCTTCAGATCCTCCTCCTTCAGCCGGAACTCCGACAGGATCTGCTCCACCTGCACACAACCCAGCATCAGCCAGGGACAAGGGATATCAGATGCAAGGGGTCTGAACTGCAAGAAATAGCTGTATTTCCCTTCTCCCAGCCCTAGTTTCCCCTATTGGCACATGAACACCCTGAAATGCCTTATCCCATCTCTCTGCTATTCTCCTCCAACTGAACAGACACACCATAGGACCGTCACAAGGCACCAAGTCYCCTTCTGGTGCTGCCTGCAGGACACCACAGTCAGCTCCGGGCTCCCTAGGGACCAGGGTTGGCACCAGGGTTCTGCCATCTTTGTCACCCAGCTGAATTTTTTAGATGGTTGTGTACAAGCCAGCAGTATTCCAGCAGTGACCTGGGATATTCCATCCTGATGAATCCCAGGGTCATTCCCAGCAAGAAGTGCTTCTGGCCATGCCATTGAGGAGCACAGCATCTCCCACCCAGGATTTGGGATTCTTTTATGATGAAGATGCTGGTGTGTTTTCCTCATTCTCSTGGGAGCATCCTTCTCCCTGTATCCCACTGGGAATCAGTGGGATAYACCCATCAAATGTGGGGCTAATATGGGCAGAGGGCAGGCAGGCAGGAATATTCTCGGGGATTGCTGCCTTGCCTGGCTGCCAGGGAGAGTCGCAGRGCCCACTCCAGGGAAGCACCTGGCAAGCAGGATCCGTGTTTATCCTTTCCGTAGCAACCCCGGGCTCGGYGCAGGCTCCATTAGCCGGCAGAGCTGGGGCCAGGTGCCCCGGCTGTCAGATGGAGCTGGAGCCGGCACTCCTCCRCCAGCTGCAGCCGGCAGCATTAGGGCTCATTAGTCACCGGGCTCCGGGTAGGCTCCAATGCTCTCACCGGCACACAGGTGTTTGCCTCGAGGCTGCTGCTGTTTCCTGACAGGCTTTGGGGTAGGGGGCTCAGTAAAGCGTTTGGTGGGAGCATCCCAGCATTGGGGGCACCCTTTGCCTCGACTCAGTCCAGCTGCCCTCCATCCTGGCACATCACCCGTCCCACAATGGGGGGCTCAGTCCAAATATCTGAGGCCCTGCRGATCTTCTGTGGTCTCAGCCATCACCCACAGCTGGGTGGGATCCTGGCACCCCAGCATGATCCTGGCATGATTCCGGCACCCCTGCATTTCCCCTCTCCATCCTGGTCCTGAGTGCTGGGGGCTCCTTTAGCCCTGGACCCCCATGTGCTGGGAGACAAGACCCCAAGAGACACAGCTGCAGCACAGACCCACTGGGTCAGGGACATCGCCGGACACCCCAAAACCGGGCCRGGCACCCATGGCAGCCCTGCAGTGAGACTCTCCGTGATCCAGAAAGCATTTGGCATAGGATGATTGGAAAAATCCTGCCAGGAAAAGCATGGAGCTGGATTTGATCATCTCCTCTGGGTTGTTGGCTGAAAACATTCAGTGCTAATCCATTCCACGGCACCACTTGGCATGGGAGCACCAGTTTTGTCACGGCTGGAGGGTCCCTGTCCCAAGACTGGCACCCAGGAGTCCAAATTTTATTTCTCCAATGTTTTTTGCATCTCAGCACTACTCATCTCTTSACTTGTCTTCAAAACCATGGGTTTGGCTCTTCTCTGGCAGGATTTGGCTCTTCCTGCATGATGTTATCTGGCTCTCAGTTTCCCACGGAGATGGTGTGCTCCAGTGCATCCCCCAAAAGAGATGGAGCTGGGAACTGTCTGGCCACYGACTGCAGTGGCCGGTGACACCCATCCTTGCTGGTCCAGCATGTGGCGAGTCCCCTGAGTGTTCCCTTGATGTCCCCTCAGTGTCCCAGCTGGCAGCAGGRAATGTCTCCACAGCCCTCACCCATGGCCCCATGAGCTCAATCTGTCAGGGAGAGGATGCTTCTCACAAACAACTGGTGTTTGACTGGGGATGAGCTGTGTGCCATCCTGCTGGGTGCCTTGGTGACAACAATGACAGCCTGCTGAAGGAGGTGACAGGCCCTATCTCACCCTGGGGATGCAGCTGCATGGCTGCAAGATGCTCAGGGCGATGTTGGGATGGTGGGAGCATCCCAGCCCAGCAGAGCATCCCACTAATGCTCCCAGCTCCATCATTAGYCCTCAGTGCTGTGGGGCCTGTGCTGTGCTGGGGGGTGACCTCAGGGATGGGGACCCCCCTGGGGCATGCTGGGCTGCCCCCAGGTTGCCTGGGAACTGGTGTCCTGCCTGCCAGCCATCCTCCTGGCYACCTCTGTTGGAACCTCGGGAAATGCTGGGAGAACCTGGCTGCTGGCTCCAGGGGAGGCTGGAACCCCAGCCAGGATCCACACTGTTCCCCACACCCACTGCGCACCCCCCGGCCCCGCAGCATTGCCCTGGCAGCGGCCTCACCTTCTCCTTCCTGCTGCTCTCCATCCTGGCTCGGTGATCCAGCATGGGGGCAGCCGGTGGGGTGGGGTGGGCTGCGGGCCAAGCCGTGCCCCCCTCAGCCCCTGTGCCCCCACCGTGGTGCCTGGCCTGGGGGAGCCCCCTGCCGTGTCCTGGAGGGTGTCCGGCAGGYGCTGGGCTGCTCCGTCCCTTGCTCCACACCTCGCTCCGCACGCAGATGCTCCACTTTCGCTGCGTTATCTCATCTGACGCTCCAGTCCAGCACCCGCTGAGGGGGTCCTGATGCCCCCAGACCTCAAACGGAGGGGCAGGGAGCAGGGCCTGGGGCCCTGGCTGGATCAGCCCCGTCACCCCTCATCCTTGGCTCCAGGGGGGTTCTGCTCACGCTCTCCTGCTTGCTTCCTTAATGTGTSGATAAATTCCCGGGCTGGTGTTGGCGTGGGGGTCCCAGCCCAATGCAGKGGATTCTGGCAGCCTGTGGGGACCCCCTGGTGCGTCAGTGAGGCTCGGCCAGGACCCTCCCCGCAGGGGCCGCTGGCCCCGTCCGGCGAAGCACCACGCCCCGGGTCACCCGTGTCCCCGTTGTCATACCAACGGCTCGATGGTGGTGGCAAGCACTCCACTGGCCGGCTTGGCAACCGGCGTGCTCCCATGGAGACTGCGGACACAGCACGGCCYACAGACACCCGCAGAGGGGTGAGGGCCACTGGGAAATGCTCCGAGCTCCCAGGATGGGAGAGCATCCCWCGGTGCTGGGATTGACGGCAGGCATCGCAACAGATTGGGGATGGGTGCTGGATTTGAGGACGGGGATGTGGCAATCCCCATTACCCCCTGAGCAGTGTCATCCACCCAGTGTTGTGGAAATAGGGGACTATAGAGGTCCAAATGGGATGAAGAGCACCCCTGGTCATGGGTGGACCCCARAACCTCCTGGTGTTGGTCTGTGGCAGCATCTCCTTGGACACAGAGCTGGGGAGGGTCCCTGAAAAGCCTTGGATGGGTGTCAGGGGTGATGGCCCCATGGGGGACTGAGGGGCTCTAGGGAACACAAAGGGTTTGGGGGTGCCATGCGTGTCCCCCACAGGGGAACAAGGAACTCCGTGGGGGACTGAGGGGCCTCAGGGGAGGGCAGAGGGTTTGTGGGTGTTGGAGCAGGGCCTAGGGGATACAGGGCCACCCCACAGGACCTCACCTGCCCCCTGTGCAGGAGGCACCATGGGGCACAGCAGGGCTTGGGCAGCCCTGCCCCTGTGCTGGTACCCACCCAGAGAACAGTCCTCACTGCTCTGAGGGCTCCAAAACCCTTGGGGAGCTCACCCACCCCTCATCAATGCACTCCCACCATGGAGGGGAACCCAACCAGGGGCAGAACAGCCCCAGGGAAGGGTCCCCACTCCCCAAAGCATCCCCCAGCACCCGGGGGAAGCTGTTTCCCGTGAGGGGCCCTCCTTAGAGAGGGTCACAACACAATAGGAAGAGGCCTGCACACGTGGGGGGATCCCATCCCACAGAGGGATCCTTACCCCACACAGGGACCCGTCCTACAGAGGGCTCCCAGGCCCACAAAGCCCACCCCTACAGGGGTCTCCACCTCACAGAGAGACCCCCGTCCCACAGAGGGGTCCCGGCTCACGGAGCCCGCCCCTCCAGGGGCCCTCACCCCACAGAGAGTCCCCGGCCTTACAGAGGGGTCCCGGCTCACGGAGCCCGCCCTTTCAGGGGTCCTCACCCCTCACAGAGAACCCCCGTCGGACAGAAGGGTCCCGGCTCACTGAGCCCGCCCCTCCAGGGCTCCTAACCCCACAGAGAGACCCCCGCCCCACAGAGGGGTCCCGGCTCACGGAGCCCGCCCCTCCAAGGCTCCTCACCCCACAGAGAGACCCCCGCCCCACAGAGGGGTCCCGGCTCACGGAGCCCGCCCTTTCAGGGGTCTCCACCCCACAGAGGGGTCCCGGCTCACGGAGCCCGCCCTTTCAGGGGTCTCCACCCCACAGAGGGCTCCCGGCTCATGGAGCCCGCCCCTCCAGGGGTCCTCACCCCACAGAGGAATCCCGCCCCACAGAGGTGATCAGGCCCCGCCCCACAGAGGCCCCGCCCCACAGAGGCCCCGCCCCTCGCCCCGCCTCTCGGGTACAGCGCCCCCTGCTGGCCCACCTGAGGAACAACCTCTGCCCCGCGACGCCAGCGCGGCGCTGATTGGTCCCCCGGGCTGAGGGCGGGGAGAAGGAACTCGGGCGATGATTGGTCAGAAAGCCCGAGGGGGCGGGGCTCTCCCGGCGCGTGCGCGGGGCGGGAGGAATCCCGTGGCAGTGCCCGGGGCTCTTCCGGCCGCCGCCATTCCACTTCCGGGTCGCAGCCATCGCCCCGTCGGCAGCTGCTTGTGTGGAGCTGCGACCGCAGCGCCGGTACCGGGGCGGGCTGGGGGCTGGCCATCGCCCCGTCGGCAGCTGCTTGTGTGGAGCTGCGACCGCAGCGCCGGTACCGGGGCGGGCTGGGGGCTGGCGGCGGGGAACGGGGCTGTGCTGGAGGGAACTGGGGCTGTACTGAGTCATTACAGGGGAAACCGGGCTGTACTGAGTCATTACGGCGGGAGATGGGCTGTATAGGGGAAGGCGGGGCTGGGCTGGCGGGGTTTACCGGCGGCCGGTTTGTAGTGGGTTATACTGAGGCGTGGCCGCGTTACACTGCATGGAAGGACTGGATTTTACTGGTTTATACTGGGGTGGGAGCTGGGTTATGCTGGGACAGCTGGGAAGGTTGAAGGTTGGTTAGGATGGGATGGGATGGGATGGGATGGGATGGGATGGGATGGGATGGGATGGGATGGGATGGGATGGGGAGGCCTGGCTGGGTCAGGTGGTGTCAGGCTGAACTCTGGGTGTCAGGGCTGTTCTGGCTGCCTGGGATGGTATTTAAGGAACGGAAGGAGGGTTTGGGGGGATCCCCAGGCAGAGAGAGGTGTGGGRGTGTCCTGGCCCCTGCATGGCCTCAGCCTCAACCCTTCCTTTGCCCCCAGGCCGACGGAGCCGCCGCCATGAGGCTCTACAGCCTAAGTGTCCTTTACAAAGGTGACYCCAAAGTGCATTTGCTCAAAGCTGCTTATGATGTGTCCACCTTCAACTTCTTTCAGAGATCCAGGTGGGTGCCAGGCGGCTGGAACCTTTGGAGGGGGCTTGGGGAGAAGGAATTGCTCCTGTGTGCTGGAGGCTGGCTTGTGGCTCAGACAGGACCTTGGGGASGGGAAGCAGAAGCTTTTGGGAGGTTTTCTGTCCCACTGGGCAGAGCTGCAGTGGCAGCAGTGAAAGGCTTTTCCTGAGAGCCACTCACTGGGGAGCTGTGACTTGCTGCAGCACTTGGAGYGATGGCTCAGCCTCAGGAATGGAGTGAAACTCCTGGAGCCCTGGCCAGCAGGAGATGAGCTCTGACTCCACAATTCCTCCAGTGCAGCCAGGTAATGAGATCAGGGCACAGGGAATGTCCTGGGAGTGGGGTCAGCTCTTCCCCATCAGCTGTGCCAGGCTGACAGGACTCGCCTGGATCCTGGTGCCCGTGGATTGTTTGGATTCAGTTGAAGCTTTTCCCAGCCCACAAAACCCTGCTCAGGTGAAACCAATGGCTTCAGGTGAGCTGGTTGTGCCCTGGATCAGGGAGCTCTTGGCAGCTCCTGAGAGCTTCCTGAAGCTGTGAAACAAAGCAGGAACATCCTGTGGAATAGCCAAGGTTTCCTTGCTGCTTCAAATGGTAAAGGAGTTAGGAAATTCCTCTGGGACCCAAATTTTCCATGCCAAGGTTTTATGAAGCCTCAGGCATATTTGGCTTGGTAATTCCAGGGATAAAGGGGAAGAACTGAAGTAAAGACTGTCTTAAAAAGCTTTTTCTTAGCCAAATGTGCGAGTGGGATGTGGAGCGGTGCCAGCATGTGACATCAGCTCCAATCCCAAAACACTCTGTAGCTGCAGCTCTTGTTTTTCCCAAATCCTGAGAAAATTCTCCGTGTGGTTTTGCTGTGGGCTTCCCCCATAGTGGGCTGTGCCTTTGCTGAAAGGAAAGTCTGGGATTTTGGGAAAAGGGGGGTGGTCCATGCTTGTCAGTCTTGCAAGAGCTTGGCCCGGGTGTGATGTTTAACGTGTGCTTGGCTCAAGTTTGGGTTAAAATGCTTCAGGTCCATTTTATTTTTTTTGTTTTTTTGAGGCTGTGGAGTTCCCAGAGAGTTGGGTTGAAGGGTTGGATCTGGGATAAACAAAGCTGTGGCACTGGGGAGCTGTGGAACCTGCTGGGCAGGAGCACAGGGCTGGGCTGTGCTGGTGCCTCATGTCTGCTGAGCACCTGCCAAGGAATTTGACAGGGTCAGGAAGGCAGAATGAAGCCTTCAGTGRGCAGTTCCTTCAGGAATACTGGAAATAAGATTCCTAKWGGGAGAGGTGTCCTTGAAGAAGATGMARATTGGGATGTAATTGRCTTWTGGTTGGACTCAATGATCTTARATGTCTTTTGATCTTAAATGTTTTTTCCAACCTAAATATGAAACGGTGGGGGATCTAGCAGATCCTAGACTAGGAGGAAGGTGTCCAGGCTCCCTCTCTGCCGCAGCAGAAATGTTCAGAATGTTCAGAAATCCTTGGGCTGGAGTTCCCTGTGCAGTKCCTGAAACCCTGGCAGTCTGGAGTCTCTGTGGAGCTCAGTCTGGGCTGGGAGGAGCACAGCCCCCTCCAGGGGWTGTGTAAACTCTGAGAGGCAATTTCCCCTCTGGAATTGCTTCTGACCATGTCAGAAAACCACAGTCTTTGCCACACCAAGGTCTGTGTCCGGTGACATTTCCTTGGCACTGTGTCACCTCCCAGGCAGGAGCTGTCCCATTTCTGGTGTTTGGCAAGCTCTGACCCCTGACCAATATCCAATCCTGGGATTTTCCAGCTRAACTGGGGAATGTGCTGCCTCACACTGGCTGATCCCAGCATGCCCATGATGTGGTGTTTTTTATTTTATTCTTGCTCTTATGTCTGGCCTCTTTTCCTTTTCTGTGGGGTGAGGAAGGATCATTGAGGAGCCTGTTGGACAGGTCTGAGCCTCAGGAATGTTTTCCAAACTTGGAGCAAGTCTGGGTTAAGGGTATTCCTTAACTTTGACTCACAGTAGTGGCTGGGTGCCTGTGGGGTCAGACATCCCCCTGGGATGGGGTCAAACATCCCCCTGGGATGGGGTGGACATCCCTGGGCTCATCCCCTGTGTGAGCAGGGTGAGTTCTGCCTGTGACCTGCTCAGGTGAGACCTCACCTGCAGAGCTGCCTTAAACTCTGGCTCTGACATCAGAGGGAGGTGGAGCTGCTGGAACAAATCCAGAGGAGGCTGTGGAGATGCTCCAGGGCTGGAGCCCCTCTGCTCTGGGGCCAGGCTGGGAGAGCTGGGGGTGCTCACCTGGACAAGGGAAGGACATAGGGACACTTTAGTGTCACTTTTAGTGCCTAAAGGGGCTCCAGGAGAGCTGGAGAGGGACTTTGTTCACAAGCATGAGGTGACAGGTTGGATTGATGGGCAAATGCCAGTGCTGTGAGAGTCAGTGCTGGGTCCTGTTGGGCCACAACAACAGCACACAGCACTTCAGGCTGGGAGCAGAACGGCTGGAAAGCTGGGAAAGAACCTGGTGCTCCTGGTCAGCAGCAGCTGGACATGAGCTCAGGTGTGCAAGGAGSCAAAGACACCTGGCCTGTACCAGCCTTGGTGTAGCCACAGCCCCAGGACAGTGACCATCCTCTGTGCTGGCACTGCCAAGGCTCTCTGAGTGCCGTGTCCAGCTCTGGGCCCCGCATGGCAAGAAGGACATTGAGGGGCTGGAGCATGTCCAGAGACAGGGAGGGAGCTGAGGAAGGGGCTGGAGCACCAGGAGCAGCTGGGAAAGGGCTCAGCCTGGAGCAAAGGGGGATCAGGGGGGACCTTGTGGCTCTGCACAACTCCCTGACAGGAGGGGACAGCCAGGGAGTCGGGCTCTGCTCCAGGGAACAGGGACAGGAGGAGAGGGAACGGCCTCAGGCTGGGCTGGGGGAGATTCAGGTTGGACACCAGRAGGATTTTTTCCATGGAGGGAGTGGTCAGACATCAGAATTGACTGCTCAGGGAGGTGGTGGAGACGCCATCCCTGGATGTGTTCACGAGGAACAGCTGGACGTGACATTCAGTTCTCTGGTCTGGGTGACAGGGTTGGATTTGATGATCTTGGCCATCTTTTCCAACCTAAATGATTCTGTGATTCTAAGGACAGGGAAGARTGGACAAATATCCCATGGACAGAGGTCAGGGCTGGACATTGGGAAGAAATTATTCCCTCTGAGGGTTGTGAGGCCCCGGCACAGTTTGCCCAGAGAAGAGGCTGTGGATGCTGAATCCCTGGGAAGTGTTCAAGGCCASATCAGATCATGTTCTGATCTTCAAAAAGGGCAGTCAGGAGGACCCTGGAAACCACAGGCCTGTCAATCTCACTTCACCGATAAAATCATGGAAAAGATTATTCTCAAGGTATTGAAAAACACCTGGAGGACAATGCAGTCRTCAGTCACAGCCAGCACAGCTTCAGGAGGTGCAAATCCTGCTTCTTGAACCTGATTTTATTCTAACCCCCACCTGGTTGGTCCAAGAAAGCCAATAGATGGAATCYTTTTGCACTTCAGCACAGCTTTTGGTACTGCCTGTCTCAGGATCTGTCTGGATAAATAAATACATCATGGGATGGTTCAGTTCAGGCCAGAGAGTGACAGTGACTGGGGTGACATCAGCCTGGCACTGGCTTCGTGGGGTTCTGCAAGGTTCCATCCTCAGTCCTGTGGTCTTCAACATCTTCATTAATGACCTGGATTCACAACTCCAACGAATCCTGAGGAAATTTGCTGCTGACACTGAATTGGGTGGAGCTGTGGAAATCCCTCAAGGGCAGAGAAGCCCTGCAGAGAGTCCTGGACAAATCAGAGATGGGCAATCAGCAACTGTGTGGAGTTTAACAAGGGAAAGTGCTGGATTCTGCACCTGGRATGGGCTGTGTGTGTGGATTGAGGAACGAGAGGCTGGAGAGCAGCTGCAGGAAGGATCCTGGGGATTCTGCTCCGTGTTCTGCTGGATCTGARTCAGCCAGGAGGGACAGCCCTGGGAGGGATTGTCCTGCTGTTCTCTGTGCTGGGGTGGCCTCACCTTGAATCCTGGGGCAGTTTTGGGCACAGCACTATGAAAAAAGACATTTGGAGAGCATTCAAAGGCGGTCACAAGGATGGGGAAGYGTCTGGAGGGGCCATGTGAGGAGCATCTGAGGGCAGGAGGTGTGTTCAGCTGACTGAAGGGAGATCTTATTGTGCTCTTCACTCTGCAGCTCTGATCTCTGCTCTCTGTGACCAGTGCCAGGACCCGAGGGAATGGCTGGAGCTGTGTCAGGAGAGGTTTAGCTTGGAAAAGGCTTTTCCCCCAATGGGCACTGACCACTCCCCAGAGCAGTGGTCACAGCACYGAGCCTGAGTTCAAGAAGTGTTTGGACAGGGTTGGATGGTTGGGGTGTTCTGTGCAGAGCCAGGGGTTGGACTTGATGATCCTGATGGGTCCCTTCCAACTCAGCGGATTTTATGGTATTTATTTTATAGTATTTTATGGCATTTTATGGCATTTTATGGTTCTGCGACTGTGGTAGAAGGTGTCAGCCGAGGGTGGTCTTTAAGGTGCCTTCCAACCCAAACCCTTCCATGATTCTGTGGTCCAGCTGGTCACCAGATGTTGGCTGGGCTGAGCCAGGTCAATGGCATTTTTGCTTTCTCTTAAATCCCCAAAAAGCAAGTTCAGTGCAAGGACACAAGACTGTCACTGCAGCCAGAGGGATGTGGGTGTTCCCGTGGGGCTGGGGAAGATCTGGAGGGGTCTGGGTGGTGGCTGGAGGTCTTTGGGGGTGCTGCTCTGCAGAGGTGCAGGGTCCAGCCTCTTCCCAAGGGAAAACTGCTCAGCTGCAGCCCCCCAGCCCAGATTTGGGGTACTGGGGGGGAAGAGTTTGTTACCCCAATGCACCAGGGAGCCTGCAGGGGCTGCCACCCCCATTTCTGGGGCATATTTAGGGGGGTTTGGGGGGCTTCAGGGGGCTGGGGGAGCTCAGAGGAGTTTGGGGGTGTCCAGGGGGGCTGCAGTGGGGAACTGTGGAAGGGTTTAAAGGGGGTCTGGGTTGTGTCCCCACAGCGTGCAGGAGTTCATGACGTTCACAAGCCAGCTGATTGCAGAGCGCTCGGCGCTGGGCAGCAGGGCCTCAGTCAAGGAGCAAGGTGAGAGCAGCCCCTGCTTCCTTCCCTCTGTGTTCCTGGGAAAGGTGAGAGCAGCCCCTGCTTCCCTCTGTGTTCCTGGGAAAGGTGAGAGCAGCCCCTGCTTCCCTCTGTGTTCCTGAGAAAGGTGAGAGCAGCCCCTGCTTCCCTCTGTCCCCATTCCTGGGAAAGGTGAGAGCAGCCCCTGCTTCCCTCTGTTCCCATTCCTGGAAAATCCCCACCAAACCCGTTGCCCAGGTGAGCAGTGCTGATGGCCTGAGGTGCTGAGCTGCGTGTGAGGCCAGTCCAGTGTGGCAGAGGTTCTGGAGGGACATTTGTCCCTAAAGGAGTGGCTTGACACTCCCCCAGACCCCCCAAATTTTCCCCAAAATGGGGGGTGCAAAACCCCCCTTGTCCCCAACAGATTTGCCTGAAAAAGAGGGGGGTACTAGCCCACCCTGACCCCAACAGTCCACCTGGATTGGCCTCCAAAATGGGGGTACCAAACCCCTTTGAACCCCCCAGAATTGCCCCCAAATCCCCCCAGAGCCCCCAGGCCCTCCTTAGACCCCCCCTTTAAACCCCTCCAGATCCCCAGCCCCCTGAGCCCCCCTGGACCCCCCCAAACCTCCCTGAGCTCCCCCAGTCCCCTGACACCCTCCCAAATCCCCCCAAAATATGCCCCAAAAAGGGGGGTGCCAGCCCCAACAGGCCCCCCAGATTTACCCTAAAAGGTTGGGTACAGAGCCCCCCAGAACTGCTCCAAAAGGGGGGCACCAAACCCCCCCAGATTTAACCCAAAAAGGGGAAGGGATGAGACCTCCCCGGCTCCAAGTTTTAATGAAAAAATTCWCTGAATTCTATGAATGAAAAATTTWATGAAACTTMTAACGAAGTCATGAAAAATGCCGATGCTGATGACACCTTCCAGGGTGGTGTGGGGGCTGGGTTGAAGGTGCTGGGGAAGGCTGGGGGTCTTTGCTGCCTCTCTGACAGGAG